AGACTGACTGTGGTAGTTGAAGACACAGTTTATCACCTCTTGACAGACATGATATCTTTCCACCAGAACAATGACAAAAAAATATTCCTGTGAAAAAGCACTGGCTTATTAGTGCTGAGTCTGTTTGGCTGGTAGACTGACTTCAACCAGCTTTGATAATAGAAGAGATGCAATCTGGCATGTGGCATCATGTAAGTGCCAAACACAGACAAACCATCACTAATGCCCTTTCCTGAGCCTGAAGCCCTAAGAGAAGACTACTCATGGTATCAAGAAGAAGGTCCTTGCTGACCTTGAACCTAAAAGTGTACCTATAAATTGTTCTGAATGTGTAAGGATGGATTTGACTAAATTAATCTTGAGTTTAAGCGAGATGAGAAGAAGCATCATTCCCATACATTTGGCCACTTGCTGTGGCAATTTTCCTTATATCAGAAAATCAAGATAAAGACAAAAGTGAAGCCACGTCTCCACAGGTAAGCTGCCACATTAGCATTTGGCGAATACTTCTGGAAGTATAGAAAGGCCACATGGTAACACTATTAATTGTTATGTGTGTAATTTGCTCTGAACTTATTTCTTGTGTGTCTGAAGGATGGAAATACAGAAGCTAGGTGTCCTGTAAGTCAAGAGTCACAGACTGAAGGTAGGGGGAAGAGTATAGAATGATAGACTCAAGTGAGACTATTTTTTGAAGCGAGGCTAGAATGATTTAATTGGGATTAGTCCTGCATTGAGCAGGAAGTTGGATTAGATGACCTCCTGAGGTCTCTTCCAACACTAATCTTCTATTATTCTATTCTGGGCTGAAAACTAACTTGTTTAATGACCTGAGCTCCAGTATCGTATGTCATCCACCCTTCTTTGGAAGGAGGAAATAGTGGGTCTAAGAAGCCAATGGCCAGGAATTCTGAAGGCACCCTCTCTATTGCACCTAAAGGAGAGTTAGTCTCCTGTATCTTGGGCTGGGGCTGGCAGGCAAGGGGCAGGTAAGGACTGGAATTTAAATACACACTCTGTTTGGATGATTTTAACAATCCAGCAGTCTGTAGTATTTTCAGTCTACGCATGGAAAATGAGACAGGCATTGCAAAAAGAATAGGTATGTGTGTGTGAGGGAGGGCGAGGGGAAACATCCAAATGAACCAGTCCAAAACTCCTGCCCACGGTATCAAGTTTATGGCTTTTTTCCTTTTTTTTTTAATTGTAGATGGATTCAAAATATTTGTATTTGACCATTACAAGGCCTCAACGTCTTTCTCATGCTTCTGTCTTGTTCTGAGAACAAAGGTTTCACAGACCAAGCACCTCTCAAAGAATAAGCTTTCCCTTGACACCAAAGTACTTAACTGGTTTCTCTAGGTCTCCCATAACTGAATCTTACATTAAAATTAATCTAACATTACATGTACTCTCAGACATTTGTATGTCCATACACACTATAAATAAAACTAATGACTACCTCTACAGACTGAGACTTAACTAATTGCACAATGGAAGAAAAGAGGATGGTTCTAAAAATATTTGCACCAATCGGAGTTGTTTAGGGAGAAAGGGGACATACAATTCCAGATTTTCAATCAAAATGCATATGCCCCATAAAATTTAAACTTCTTTAGAATGATTTTAGAATCATGAGGCCTTACAAGTTGGGATTTATAAATGCAATTTAATGAGAGTGAAATGATACAGTGGAACTTTACACTACAATAAGGCTAGTTGGAATATTGATCCCGGGCTCCAAGTGGTGCTGCTTCTTTGAAAAGCCAGGTGGAGCCCGGGATCAGCTGGGGACTCCACAGCTCCATGGCATGCCAGCGCTGAAATGTACAAGAGTCCTCAACAGGGGCTCTTATGCATTTCAAAGCGTAAGCACCTGCATGTGGCCCGAGTCAGTGGGACTTTCTGCTGGCCCTGGGCTCCACATGGCATTCCAACTTTGAAATGCACAGGAGCCCCCGCTGGGGCTCTTATACATTTCAAAGATGGAAAGTGGAAGTGCTTATCGACTAGTTGAGTAGTCAATGGAAATTCCATCGACTATTGGACTAGTAAATTAATCGCTACTTAACATCCCTAGTCTGTCTACACCATAAACTCCTTCTGGCAGGGATTGTCTCTCCTTTCAGGGTCTTGAACATCACCAACGTGGTTGATGCGCTAAGAAATAATTTACAAGATGATTTTTCAATACAGAAACAACAATTGTAAAAACCCCACAGTGAATCTAGCAATAAGAGAGATAAAGATTGCTTACAAGTAATAGGGATGCTTTGCAATAAGCCTCTGAATATTCATGCTTGTGAGAGCACAGCACCTATGAGGCAAGCTTCTAGAATCTTCTGTCACTTGTGTCCACTGGGGCCTGTTGTATGGCCTTCATGGAGGGTTCTCATATAAAAATGAGTCTTGCTCATCCTTGAAGCAGAACTTGAGAAAACTGAATACCTTCTGGTAGAAAGGGACTGATCTGTGGTTTACCCGACTAGCATAACAGATAATGCAAGATACAGATCTTATCAAAAGAGCTTGATAAGAATAGTCTTTCCTTGAAAGATGAGATGGAGTGATCCAGTGGAAGATTTTGCACTCTAAGGGTACATCTACACAGCAACATTATTTCAAAATAATTAACGTTATTTTGAAATAACATAGTCCTTGCCTACATAGCAGGAAGTTATTTTGAAATAATATCGAAATATTGTCAAACTGGAGGCCTTTTTACTCCAACTCCTGTAACCCTCATTATACGAGGAACTCGGAGGAAGAATGCTCTATTTCGAAATAAGTGCTGTGTAGACACTCCCAATTTCAAAATAAGCTACACAATTGACATAACTTGAAATTAGATACTCAAACTGAGCCAAGCCCTGTTGTGTAGACGCACCATAAGTCCTGAGCAACACTAGGGAGTTATTTTGAAATAACAAGCAGAGCATCCACACTACCAAGCCCGTTATTTCCAAATAATGGGCTGGTTATTTCAAAATAATAATGCTTGCTTCTCATGAGGAATAATGCTTATTTTGAAACAGTTATTTTGAAATAGAGGTAGTGTGGGTGCTCCACTGCTGCTATTTTGAAGTAACTATGCCCCAGAGTCATTCAAAGTAATAATTCCCTAGTGCTTCTTGGGACTGTAAGTAATGGTAGCACATTCACATTAAGGGGGCCTGCCTTGGACTAATTTGAGGCTTCTCTGTAGTGTGGATACGCTATTTTGAAATAGTTATTTTGGGAGTAATTATTTCAAAATAAGTTATTATGAAATAATTTCCTAGTGTAGACATGCTCTTATAAAGGGAAGACTCCCTGACAGTTGGCGAGACCAAATCCCTCCATAGTAATAGGCATGATAAAATATTTTAGTGTTATGTTAGAATTTGATCAAAGAAAAAAATTGTAGGCCAGACAAATAGCCGTTCACTCCAGTACATTAAGGTGGAGCTCATTCAGTGCAGAGCTGAAGAGGTTGGGAATCAAAATGAGTACCATAGTTAACCATCTGGGATGTCTTCTGAAGGGTATGTTCTTCCTTTGCTTTTCCCAGTAAAGCATCTTGAGTGTCTTGAGCCATTTAGTCTTCGGTGTTCATGGTGTAAAAATGAAGGTGGATTCATGTACCACTGTTGGAAAGCTAGGGACCATAGAGCCAGTCATACTAGACACAGAACCACATTGGTAAATGGTTCTTCAGGTGATGGTATTAAGTCCTCAGCATTGAAATGTGCTGACCTAGATCAGTGTTTCTCAAAGTGGTCCGCGGACCTACTATGAGAAAGTTGCTCCAGGCTGTCCCGGTTTGTTTACTTACTGGCTCCGTAGCCACAGAGCCTTGTGGCTCCCATTGGCTGCAGTTCTTCATTTGCAACCAAGGGGAGCCACAGGAAGCATCTTATTGTTAGTTAAGTTAAACAGACTCCAAAGTATCAACAAAAAACACCACCAAAAACTATGAAGAGAAATGCTGAGGACACTGCGGGTAATCAAGCTTGCTGTAAGTAAGGTAGTTAGGAAAAACTGAATGGGCTGCTCCCTCTTTGAAACTGTTGAGGATGGGAATGAAAGGGATGTGAGTGGCCTAAATGGACTAGTCATCAGAAGGTTCTAGAAGCTTATGGCACAGGCAACCTCAATCCCACTTGAAAAAATAATGCTTTTCAGTAAAAATTCACTTTAGAAATTAGGAAAACATTTCTGATGACAAAATCAATCACCTAATCTAGCGAAACAGTTTGCCTAACAAGAAAGTTATAGCCAGGGCTCGCAGGGCTTGCAAGCCGCGCTGTCTGGCAATCTACGCATGCACAGATCACCCGAACCCGGCTCTTCCGGGTTGCAATCTACTCGCCACGGGCGAGTAGATTGCATTATCTGTCGAGCCCTGGTTATAGCAAATTAGGAGGCAATCAACTGAGATTAGCTAAAACAGATACAGAAACCTACACCAGATAATCCAAGAGTACAGTTCCAACTATCATTTATGATGATATCCCTCACACAGCATGATGATCCATTTAAGCTTACTGAGGTTTGTGGTCAGGCCATCAAGGGTGATAAATATATTCCTACTCAGCAGCAGCAAAATTGCCTGAGGCAAACAGTTGAATAAATTGCAATAAAAATCTTTTTGTTTCCCTGCACATCAGTCCTAAGGAGCTAGTAATTGGAATGCCCTAATGCCAACACTAGTAGACTTCCCTTTTCCACTAGCAAAGGCATGTGACAAGGGATTCTTTCCATTTTTTAAGCTACAACAGTTTTTTTTAAAGCACCCTTTCATTCTGTGCTGCTATTTCTCTTTTCCACAGCCCAATTTGTCTCAGCAGCAACTACATATATGCATAAATTCTTCAGCCAATAGGCTGGCTGCTGCTACTCTATCTTGCTAGTAAGGAACACAGCTCAAAATAATGAAATGTGCCCCCTCCTAAAGACAAGTATGTACATACATAATATGAGCCATCATGCCAAATGCATTGTAATGAAGTTATACGCACCTACAGACAAGTCCATCTTACTGCCTTGAGTGTCCTCAGTTTGACTCTGAAGGGGGGGAAAAAAAAAGAGAGATGGTCTGACTCCTGAACAAAGTTCTAAAACACTGTAGAAAATAGCCTTCAAAGGTAAAAATATGTATTGGAAATGTGTACGGGTATGCCAGTGAGAATGAAAGTAATGTCCTAAATGAAATAAAAGAAAACTAATACTGATGTAACCTTGAGTACAACTCATCCAAGCTGTGTTTGGTGTTAAATTTCCTAAAATGTAACTAGACATATGAACTCATGCAACAGAGAGAGATGGCTGAACAGCTGCTCTGAGAAATGAACCTCTGTCCTCATGTTCCAGTGGTCAAAGGATCAAATTATGTGAGCAACAGCCAGAATGATAGCTCTTTCTCGTGACTTGTCAAGTCATCAAATCTTAAAATGTGCTGCCAAATTATTCTTCTGTTGGCAGTTTGGGACAGGGTGTTCCCATAATTGACAGGCAGTGTGATTTAGCAGACTGAATTTGAGACTGGAAGCCATGAGCTCAGATTCTACTCCCAGCTTTGCCAGCGACATTCTGCTTGGTCTCAGATATGTCACAACACCTTTACACCACAATTTCTGCAATCCTTTAATGAGGATAATAGTTAGTTCACAAGGTACCTTACTTAACTTTGTACAGCATTTTGAAAAATGCAAAAAAACCTCTCCCCATTATATGGATGGCTAGTTGTGAACTGAAAAGAAGGCATTGTAGATCTCTGCACTTCTCACTGATAGTGATGTAGTATTTGTCTTACAGCTCCACCTAGAGGTCCTATTACTGGGGCTATATATGTGTGTGCTAGGTCAGGAGTGGGCAACCTACAGCATGTGTGCTATAAGTGGCATGTGAGCCGATTTTCAGTGGCATGCGGGGCAGGAGCTCAGCAGGGAGCCTGTGTTGTTGCTGGAGAGCCTCATGGCTGGCACACAACTGTAGCACCAGCTCTGGGGGGCAGGCAGAGAGGTTGCAGATTGGGCTGTACACCAGCGGCTGGTGCTCTTGCCCTTCTCCACCTGCCCAACTCCATTGCAGCAGTGAGCCAGTGGAAGCAGAGGAGTTGCTGCTGGTGTAAGCATGGGGGCTCAGTCTGGCAAGCTCCTCCGGCGGCCAGGGCATAGACCACACAGGCTGCTCCTCTGGCAGTGGGGCTGGGATCTGGGCAGGTGGCTGCTCCTGGGCGGCCACTACTACGGCTTGGACCACATAGCTGTTCCTTCAGTAATGGAGCTGTGGTAGTAGCAAGGGCAGCCCGGCAACCCATCTGGAGTCTAGGGTAGCATGTGTACACTGGCTCGGCAGCAGGGTTGTGTTGTGGCAGTCCAATGGGGTCTGTGTGTTGGCCCAGCAGTGGGGACAGAGCCACAACAGCATGGATGCAGTTGCCCTGCAGGAGAAACCTGATTGGAGCTGTGGCAGCGGAGCCTTGGCAGCAAAGCCAGGGCTGCGTCAACCCAGCTGCGGCTGGGGCAGGCCAGCATAGAGGGCAGGGCTGTGTGCTGCCGTGCTGGCTGCCATGTTGGCTGGAGCAGCAGTTATGACAGCAGGGCCAGGGCAGCTGTGTCTCCCAGCCATCAGCGGGGCTGAAGGAGCCAGTCACAAGGAGGGGCGCCAAGCTGAGGGGGCCAGTGGCAGGGAACCATAGTTCCTTCCAAGCTGCGCAATTGCATAGGTGTTTCTGAGCTCTGCTCAGAAGTTCAAAGCTCCCACGCATGCAAGGAGCTCAATTAATAGGCAGGGGGCGGGGCGTTGTCTTGCTGAGCAAGCAACTAAATGGAGCTGGCTCATGCTTGAAATGGAGCAGCTCCCGGAGCAGGTAATAAAAAGCAAGGTAAGGAGAGAGTAAGTGTCTAGGTTGGGGGAGGAGAAGTGAGAGAGTGAGTGAGTGGGTAACTGTGGGAGGGAAATCAGAAGGGAAGGGGTTGGAGAAAATCCCTTTTGCGCGGGGGGGGGGGGGGCGGGGTGGGGAGAGGCAGAAACTCAGCACACTCAAGTGTCCTGGGAAGTGGGAGGTAAGGGGCTGACTACACTGAGTAGGTGGGGGGAAAATGGGTGAGTGGGTGTTGGTACTGGGGTGAGGTGGAAGTAGGAAAAGTTTGTGCTGTGAGGTGGGAGAGGTGTGGATAATATGTGCTTTAGCTGGGCACTAGGACAGGACAGACTGCTGGTGTCTGCTACTTTGAGAAGCAGGATTTTATCCCTGTCCCCACCTGGGCTGGGTGGATCAGACTACACAACAATAGGTGGTGGAAAGGCTATTACTAACTTTAAATCGTATCAACGGCACACAGACTTGTAAAAAGAAGTAAGTTAAATCTCAGCACGCCACTGCTGAAAGATTGCTTACGCCTGTGCTAGGTACTGTACTAAACACAGAAGAGTTTACAATATAAAGAGACAAGACGAAGGATAGGATAAAGGAAATATCTCCAGATGGAGAGCTTAGGGATAGTGATACTGTCTTGCCCAAGTTCACGCATGTCTGTGGCCCACATGTTCAGAAAGACATATTCTGACTAGTAAGTGGAGTTTGAAATAGCCACCAACTATCAGTAGTGCAATCAGTATAGCAAGAAAGAGAATGTGAATGATAAATGCAATTAGTTAATAAACACCAGATAGTAAATATGACAGAATTTAAAACTTTGCTTACTACACAAATGCTAGTGCTTCTCTATTGGATTATGACATTAAATAATCCACTTACTAGTAATCCCATATTTGAAAATTGTTTAGATAAAGGGTTCATCCACGAATCACTGTTTCCTCCTTTTAATGAACACTAAAACACAAGAACAGACATATAATTAAACAGTTTCCTTATCTTTCCTCCATTTTCATACTTTCTTTATTTTACCTCATAGCTGCAGAAGTATGTACTGAAAATACTGTCCCTGAAATCTGTCTCTGAAAGACTACAGTTACTCTTTAACGGACACCTGCCACATTCTAAAAAAATAACGCTATAAATACTATAATTTATTTACTTAAACTGATGCATTCTGTTCTATTATATGTAGATGTATCTGAATTCAACAGGCTTTCAATTTGGTCCTGTTGAAATTTATGAATGACCAAATAAAACTGAAAGCAGAAATTGGCAATATAGCACACACGCACGCACAGAAAAGGAAAGTTTACAGATTATTTTTTATCCTAACCATAAAAGCAATTAAATGTCAATTAAAGGGAATCAATTTATCCAAAGCAGAAACTGACATCCATATAGTAAGACAGAGTAAGTTTAAAAAAAAATCATTAAACACTATTTTTTTTTTATTTGCACCTTATCTTAACCCAGTAGTATCCAAAGTGTGACCCCTGGCTATAAGGAGTCATCTTAATATTAACACAATATGCAACACCACAGTAGGAAGTCTAACATGCTCTATCCTCTACAGAACAGTTAGATCCATGGTGTTGCAGGCAAGGGCACAGTCATTTTACTTCCAATTGTTATCACTCTTGCCACTCTGGCCATGTCTTCACTATGTGGGATGATCAAATTAAGATACACCACTCCAACTATGTTAATTACGTAGCTAAAGTCAACATATCTTAAATAGAGTTTCTGCATGGGCTCCACAGAGGAAGGTTGATGCGAGCAAATACTCCCTCAGCTTTGCTTACTCCTTGTGAGGAGCAGGATTACTGGCATTGATGGGGGCGCCCTCTGGGTTCGATGTAGTGGGCCTTTGCTAGAATCACTAAATCAAACTCCTGAAGCTCATTCATGGCAGTGTCAGTCTTCCACATAGTGAAAACATGGCCTCAGCAAGAACAAAGGTGGGAGCACAAAAATCAAGCAGAAATAAGAGAGGGTTACTACTAGAAGTGAGAATGAGATCAGAACTTCAACAGGCTGTGTAAAAGTGTCAGCAACAGCCTAATGCAGCATGATGTGTTACCCAGAGATCTACAATGACCTTTGTTGCTCAGTTTCATTCTGTAACGGCTCTGCAGCCCACATGCCAAAAGGTTTCTGGAAATATCTGTTGGCGTTACAAGTCATAATATCCATATTACATAAAAACAAGAGTGTCATTCCACATACCACTGCAATACAGCCACCTCTATAGATTAATTCTCCACTATAGTAGTTCTTGTTTATAAAAGGAAAGTGAAATGCTTACGTACTTCTTTATAACTGTTGTTCTTCAAGATGTGTTGCACATGTCCATTTCATGTAGGTGTGTACACATTATGTGAACAGTTGTCAGAAGATGTTTCCCCTAGTGGTACCTGACGGGTCAGCTGTGGAGCCCCCTGGAGTGGCATCGTTATGACAGTATACATAGATCCCTGCGGACCCGCTGCCTGCTCATATCCTTCTTGCTGGAAAACTCTGACAGAGGGAGGTGAGTGAGTCTTGGAATGGACAAGAGCAACACATCTTGAAGAACAACAGTTACGAGAAGTAAGTAACAGTTTTTTTCTTCGAGTGATTGTTCATATCAATTTCAAGTAGGCGATTCCAAAGCAATCCCCTGGAGGAGGGATCACAGGTCATTTAGTTAGACTGGAACACTGCTTTACTGAATGTGGCATCGTCTCTAGCATACTGAGTGATGGCACAATGGGATGCAAAATGTGTGAACTGAAGACCACATTGCTGTTCTGCAGATGTCCTGCAAGGGAACATC